CTGTAGCAGCCAATCAAAAGTCCTCGAACAACACTTCTGCCCTTAAGCGCACTTTCCTTTTTTTCACCTGAAGTACCAAATCAAGTAAGTCAGGACACCTTCCTGTGTGCTGGCTCGGCTGCTAAGGCCAGACGCAGTGACGGCTCCCTCAGGGCAGAGGACACATGCACTGTTGGCTTTGTACAAATCAACCGGCACCAGGCCAGCGTGACACGTTGTAGGCATTCCAAAATTCAGCACCAGCACTTGGCCTCCAAGGTCTTAAAAGCTCCCACTACAAAAGGATAGACCTGAAATTCCTTGGCCTTACATTCAAGGCCTTTTATTAGTAAACACTTCTCTACTTATCTTCGAAAACCACCAGGATCTTGTTTGTGTTATATCCCCCATGGCTCCTCAAATTTTTAATACTCAAATTCCACCTATTTGTTAGTATTAAATTCAAATCCTTCCTTTGGCAAGACTTCCTAGACGATTCCAACCCCTGTAACCTCTCCTTCGTCCAAAGACCTGTAGCCTTCCATGTAGCACTGCCCAATAGACCCTTCTATGACACCAGAAATGTTCTACCTCTACAATACATGTTCTTTTAAAAATAGCAAGCTTGTTGGATAGTAGAGGTGTGATGCCTTCACCACCTCCTTGGTGACAACAACATGGCATTAGATGTTTAAAGCACTTATCGGGGCTGGTGCCATGGCGTGGTTAAGCTGCGCCTGCAGGGACAACACTCCCTAGGGGCACTGATTCAGTCCCGATGCTTCACTGCTGGTCCAGCTCCTTGCTAGTGCACCTAGGCAGGCAGTGGAGGATGACCCGAGTCCTTGGGACCTGCACCCATGTAGGAGATCTGGAGGAAGCTCCTAGCTTCAGACCAGCCAGCTCCAGCCATCGTGGCCATTTGGGGAGTGAACCAGCGGATGGAGAATCTCTGCCTGTCTCTCCCTCCCTCTCTCTCTGTAACTCTGCCTTTGAAGTAGATAAATAAATCTTTAAAAAGCAAAACAAGAAAAGCATTTATAAAGGAACCCCGGCAGACGGCAAATTCTGTGGAAAGGACACATCTTATTCCCCACAGCAACTTTCACAAAGTTGAAAATTGTAAGTAAACCTCTTGAACACCACTCTTAAGAAAACATAAGATGGGGCCAGTGCTGTGGTGCAGTGGGTTAACGCCCTGGCCTGAAGCGCCGGCATCCCATATGGGCACCAGTTCGAGCCCCAGCTGCTCCACTTCTGATCCAGCTCTCTGCTATGGCCTGGGAAAGCAGCGGAGGATGGCTCAAGTCCTTAGGCCCCTGCACCCGCGTGGGAGACCTGGAAGAAGCTCCTGGCTCCTGGCTTCAGATGGGCACAGCTCCGGCCGTTGCGGACAATTGGGTAGTGAACCATAGGATGGAAGACTCCTCTCTCTCTCTGCCTCTCTTCTCTCTGTGTAACTCTGACTTTCGAATAAGTCAAACTTAAAAAAAAAAAAAAAAAAAAAAAGCTAAAAAGATGTTGCACTCAGGTATCTGGAATGATGATCAACACCTCGACCTTATCTAACTTCTGAATGTCAAGGAACACAGAAGCAGAAGAAGAAGACAACTTCCTGGAAACTCAAATGACCACTGACCAGGCCACAAGGCACCCTGGTTTACATTTAGGTCATGACACCCCTCACCTAAAACTTTCCTAAACAACCCCATTAATAATCGCTCAACTCTCATGGTAAGTTATGCTTTCTACAGTTAATTACTCCTTAAGTCAGACTTGGCAGACAGGAGAGCAAGCTTCGCCAGCCCGACATGTGTTTCTTTCCCCCCATTTATGGAGCACACTTCCCTCCCCTGAAGTCTTCCCACTGACCGGCGGGACTGGGAATTCACTGCCCAGTATGCTAGACTCTCACCGACATCTTTCAGGGCCTACGCACTCAGAATCAAGCTTAAGCACTGGTCATCAAAACAACACAACACATACAGAAGACACAAGTTCCACCATTCTGGTGTTCGACTGCCTTGAGTATCTTTGGCTTCAATTTCCTTATCTACAAAATGGGGTTAAGGTTATGTGAGCCACCTATCTCACAAACCCTTTTGGGTCAAGTTGAGTCTGGTTATCCTCCCCAAATGAATTACATACAAAAAACAAAGATTTATGAATTTGTTAATGGTTCTTTGCGGTGGGTGTGCTAACAGCGCTCCAACATCTACGACTACTTTTTTTATCCCAGATTTCTTTCCCCCATCCCACTGTACAAATGGCTGAGCAAAATTCCCAGTAGTCTGGCACATGTAATACGGAAATAAATGTGTTGACTCAGGGAACACAGACATATTCAACACATAAAATGAGTAAAAAAAGAAAACTGACTGGACCAAGCAAGTCATAACACACTTGGGATCTTCAAAAAGTTCATGGAAAGTCTGTATTATGAAGAAATTATGAATAGATTTCAATTTTTCCACATCAAAATAATCTTTTAATTCCATTTTTCCATGTACTTTTTAAAATACCCTCATACAAATAAAAAATTAAGATGATTCACTTTTTTTTTTAAGATTTATTTATTTGAAAAGCAGAGTTACAGAGAAAGAGAGGGAGAGAGATCTTTCATTCGCTCGTTCACTCCCCAAATGGCTGCAACAGCCTGAGCTGGGCTGATCCAAAGCCAGGAGCCAGGAACTTCTTGCAGGTCTCCCGCATGGGTTACAGGGTCCCAAGCACTTGGGCCATCTTCTGCTGCTTTCCCAGGCTCATCAGCAGGGAGCTGGATCAGAAGTGGAGCAGTTGGGACTCAAACTGGTGCCCATATGGGATGCCAGCACTGTAGGAGGAGGCTTTACCCGCTATGCCACAGCACTAGCCCCAATTTACTACTTTGATTTATTCAAACCAATGCTTTACAACACAGCCAAAAATCTACAACCCAGGGTTGGAGGTTTGGTGCAGGCGTTAAGACAAAGCCACTTGGGACGCTTGTTTCCAACATGAGAGTGTCTGACTCCTCCATTACCATCCAGCTTCCTGCAAATGCACACCGTGGGAGGCAGCATGACTCAGGCACTTGGGTCTCTGCCACCTCTGTGGGAGACTTGGATTGAGTTCTGTGCTCCAGGCTACAGCCTGGCCCTGCCTTGACTGTTGTGAGCCTGTGGGGAGTGAACCAGCAGTTGGAAGATCGATCTCTCCATCTCTCCCTCTGCGTTTCAAATAAAATGAAAGTAAATTTTAAGACGTTTTTAAAGTTTACAACCCATTACAGAATAAAGAAACCCTTTAAATGCACACACAATAACAACCAACAGGTATACACAATCTACATTTTTAATAAGAAAAAAACGACCAACCACTGTGTCAACAAACACCTCACTTGATATAACACAGTGATGTGTACCAAACAGAAAAAACAACTCGGGACGCTTGAATTGGGCCAACTTAAGTGCAACCACACCCCCAAACCCAGGTAAAGTCCACATACAGGGCTGTGCCAAGGCCAGCCTCTTTGTTTCCCTCTCTTCTGCATTTACCCAAGATCTTGGCTCTGAGACAGAAAACTCCCACTCTGGATTGGTTCATTCTGTCCTATGCAATTAAGCAACACCACAATCCAGTAAATGCAATGGCTCAATTATTTATCTTCGAGCTGAGTTTACCAGGTGTTTCTAAGAGAACAATGTCAAGAAGGAATGAGCTGGCCCTGATGGGGTTTTTGTTTTGCCTTTTTTTTTTTTTTCTTTTTCCAGGGGAGGTGGGCAGCGATAAGCGCCTAACCTAGAAAAAGATGGGAAGGAATTAAGGAAGAATACAGTCTGTCCATTTCCCTACAGGAAACTTGAGTCTTATGCAATAACCCTACCCGCAACCAGCCAGCACGCGAGGCTGTGGGGGGAAGACACCTATTCCGACCTCCAGGGGGGCACAGCCAGCCCACGAAGGAGGCGAACCGGGCCCGGCGGAGGAAGTGGCTCAGCCCGGAGCCGGCGGGGCGGGGAGAGGCTCCTTCCACCCCCGCCGGACGGCAGCTCCGGGGCCGCAGTGTCCCGAGCCCGGGGCTCAGGAAGTCGGGGGCCTCCCTCACCTTGGCCATCCCCAGCCTCGCACGCCCTCGCGCCGCGGGCCGCCCCCTTGAGCTCATTCTCCCTCTCCTCCGCGTCGCCCCTTACTGCGAAGAACGAAACTTACTTCCAACGCCCGTCCCCCCCCTCCCCCGTCCCCGCCGAGGCCCGCTCCTGTCATCCCAGGGAGCCGTCCCCTGAGGGTGACCCTCCGCGTCTCCTCCGGCCCCCAGCCCCCTGAGCGCCCACCCCCGGCTCCCCCTAACACCCCAGGCGCTCCCGGCCCCGCGGCGCCCTCCGAGGTGCCCAGCTCAGGGGCCGTCGGGGGAGGCGGCCCCACCCTTCACCCCCTTCACCTGTTTCTCGGGCTCAGGCCCGACAGGCCGGGGCTGCGCTAGCGCCGGGTGCGGGCGGCCGGGCTCCCTCAGGCCGCCGGGCCTCTGCTAGCCGATGCGGAGAGACAACGCCGAGTGGGGGTGCTCTTCAAAGATCCGGTTGGGGCTCCTTCCCTCTGCTGCGACGTCGGAACCCCAGACTCCCCCTCCCGTCTACACCGCCGCAGCTCCGGAAACCGCTGAATTACAGCCCCTTCAACCAATCCCCGCCCAGCCCCAGTCTCGCCAAGGCACGCCTTTATACATAATTCATGAGACAGCCAGCTTGCTAGACCACCCAGAGGCCGCAATGCGAGGGCTGTACCGTCGAAGCCCCACCCATTGACCAATGAGGTAAGTCTCCAGGAGAAAGGGCGGAGTCAAGGGGAGGCTGGGGACGCCCCTGTGCTGGCTGTTCCGAGCTTTAGTGCTCCTCCCTCCGCGGCACCAACGGAAGAGACGCGGCCTTGGGCACAGAAGTCCGGAGGGAGGGGGGAAAATGAACGGAATGTCCTGCTGAAAACTCAGCTGAGTTCCTGGCAGTGCGTGACGTCAAGACACTTTAAATGCCCCTGATACGGCTCCCTCCTGCCCGCTCTCCCTTTTCCCGGCCCTTGGCACCACGTGGGGGCGAGACTGAGAGGTTCTTACCACGTGGGAATCAGCCAGTTAGACGGTCCCCGGGTATCGCCAGATCTGCCAGGCGCCCTCCTCTTGGACTGGGTTTCTGGGGCCGACAAGACGAACATGGGCGACCCTTGCCTGCTTTGAACCCCAGCTTCTGCGTGAGTTGGGACACACACACCCGGAAACATGACGTGGAAATAGAGTAATTACTAGATTGCGTGGGAGACGGCGGTGGATTTAACCCCGTCTTGGGTTCTGTGCCTTCAGCCGCTAGTGCGCGGGCCGGTACGCACACGTGCTGACTGTAGGTGAAGATGACCCCTTGCTGACATTTCTGTGCCGAAATGCTCCCCGTTGTCTGCCCTATTTTTTTTCCACCTTGTCTATGCAGGTATTACTGAACTGAAGCCGGTCGTTCATAGGAAATGTACACACTTTGCCTTTCGTAATAGGGTGAATTTTGCATAATAGAGTGTTGTGTGTGTGCTCCATTCTATCCGGGTTCTTTTTTTTTTTTTTAGCAAAAACAAAAATCGTTTAACACAACGAGATAAGATAAAATATAAAAAGGGCCCATTATCTCAACCACCCACGTAACTTCTAATAACACTTTTCTCAGTGAAACTAATCCATGTTCATGGTTTAAAAATTCAAACAATTCAGAAAAATTTTAAGAGACTTATTTGAAAGTTACAGAGAGAGAGCAGAGCAAGATCTTCCATCCCCTGGTTCACTCCCCAAATGGCCACAACCACTGGAGCTGGATGGATCTGAAATCAGGAACCATGAGCTTCTTCCAAGTCTCTCACTTAAATACAAGGACCCAAGCCCTGGGGCCAGCTTCCACTGCTTTCCCAGGAGCATTAGCAAGGAGCTGGATCAGAAGTGGAGAAGCTGAGACTCAAACCAGTTCCCATTCGGGATGCCGGCACTGAAGGCAGCAGGTTTACCGGCAATGCCTCAGGACTGGCCCCTCGAAATATTTATTTTAAAACAAGATTTATTGAAGTCAGAAACCTCCGGATGCAGCAGCCAAGAGGGGGGCTCCAAGAGAGGCAGACCCCCTCCCAGAAATTTTTAAATGAAAAATCTCCCCCTCCTGCCTCCTTCAGTCTTCCCCAAGGATAGCTGTTCTTAATTTTTGGTGAGAAAAAAAAATCAGTGTCTCTTAACCTTTGAAGGGGAGTGGATCTCAGAGTTTGGTGGAGAATATGGATTCCAGCCCCAGAAATACTCAGCAATTCACATGGTTCACCCAAGACTCCAGGTTCAGACTTCTGGTGCACCCTTAAATCCAAGTGAGAGGTGAGGGAATCCATAAGGCAACCGTCAGTGTCGGGGTGCTGGGACAGCTGTCTCGGGGTGTCCTGTAGATCCCGGAAGTGTGGGATTGCCTGTTTGTAAACAGAGTGCATGTACGGGTCATGGATCACTCTTTATCTTCACCATGGTCACCTCCCCTAAAGTCCATCCCAGCTGTGTGTGGCCCCTTGCAGTTCACGGCCTCCCTGGTGGCAGAGGGTCTGATATTTGCTCAGTGATTTACTGCTTGGAAGGTGCTCACACACTCTCCTCTCCTTTCTCACAACAGGTCACCTTCCTCGCTGACAACGAGGGCCCAATCCCAGCGATACCCGGAGGTGCACCAGGTGGGTCAGAGCCACAGCTTTGTTCCATCCTGGTAAGCTGTGACCCCTGACCCCTCAGGAGCGTTCACTCCCCTCACTGCCCTCGCCACCGTTCTCCCCTGAAATCTACCTCTGAGCCTGCCTGATAAAGGGACAAAAACCCTCTGCAGCCTCCGACTGACCCCAATCCCCACCGGCTGAACGCTGCAGCTTCTCCTCTTGAGCCGAAGCCTGGCCGCTTCCCTACTGTCTCCTTACTCCATCCCGATCTCCCCTTGGCTGCCAGGAGCATCATCCTAAAAGTTACATGAATAAATACTCAGCCCTGTCGCCATCTGCCCCAAAATCTCTTCTGTTCTCCGTGATCCATAGGGTAAAAATCCAAGTTCCTTCAAAAAAAAAGCACCAACCTCCTAACTCAGTGCCAGGCATGCGGCAGGAGCTGGGCTGATGCCCCTTGTCCTCTCGATTCGACTCCTAAATCCTGTATTCTCACCTGAAGCCCTTTGTCCAGGCTCATCCCACACCACCTGAACTCCCGCCCTGCCCTGATCACCTTCCCCAGGGCGTGCCAGCACCACCCGCCACTTCAGCCCCTGTGGGTTTTCTTCCCTCCCACCATGTCTCTTCCATTTCCTCGCTCCCTCCCTGAAAACTCTCTCATTCTTGAAGGCGCGGTTCCAGCATCACTGCCTCTGGGCTTTCCCGGTGCTCCCAGGCAGTCTGCCTCTCGGCTGCCGTCAGCAGGTGTTTCCCCACCTTGAACTGCAATGTATCCATTTACTAGCCCACTTCCTTATAAATGAAATAATTAACCTTTATTAATCACTATGTTCTAGGAACTGTACTGAGCATTTTACGCAGAGATTGTCATTTGATCAAGGACATAGGCGTTCTAATTCTCATTTTATGACTGTGGAAACTAAGGCTTAGAAAGAAAAGGCCTGGGGCTGGCCTTTGGCCGCACAGTGAACACATGTGCCTCCCATATCAGAATGCCCGACTTCCACGCTCAGCTGCACTCCTGATTCTAATAACCTGCGAATGCAGGCCCTGGGAGGCAGCAGGTGATGGCTCAAACAGCTGGATCCCTGCCAGCCTTTGGGAGACCTGGGTTGAATAACTTGGCTCCCAGCTTCAGCTGGCCCTGTCCTGGCTATTGCAGGCATTTGGGGGGTAACCAGCAGATGGAAGGTCTCTGTTCCTACCCCATCACTCTGCCTTTCTTTTTTTTTTTTTTTTTTTTTTTTTTTTAACACTGCAGGGCCAGTGCTGTGGCATAGAAGGTTAAGCCTCTACCTGCAGTGCTGGCATCCACAGGTTTGAGTCCCAGCTGCTCCACTTCTGATCCCTCTCCCTGCTAATGTGCCTGGGAAAGCAGCAGAAGATGGCCCAAGTGCTTGGGCCCCTGCACTCATGTGAGAGACCAGGATGAAGCTCCTGGCTCTCAGTTTCAGCCTGGCCCAGACCTGACTGTTGTAGACACTTGGGGAATGAACTGGTGATGGAAGATCTCTCTCTCTCTCTCTCTCCCTCCTTCTCTGTATTTCTGCCTTCCAAATAAACAAATTAAAAATTAAAAAAAAGGCGCGGTTGGGGTGGGCTTTAGGGCACTGAAGGTTAAGCTGTGGCTTGCGACACCCACATCCCGTATTGTAGCATCTGGGATCAAGTCCTGCCTCTGCGTCCCATGGAAGCTTCCATGGCTTCTGTGCACCTGAGGAGGCAGCAGGTGGTCACTCAAGCACTTGGGTCTCTGCCACCCACATGATAGACCCAGATGGAGTTCCAGGTTCTTGACCTTGGCCTGACCCAGCCTCGACTATTGCTGGCATCTGGGGAGTGAACCAGCAGACGGAAGATCGCTCTATGTGTGTGTGTGTCTTTGTGTTGCTCTGCCTTTCAAATAAACAAAACACAAAAACGTGGCATGGCAGAGAAGGCCTCTGGGCTGCCTGGCTCCTCTCACTGACAGCACCGGGAAGAGCAGGGGCTTGCTCCTCAGGCATCCTCTTGCAAGCCTCTCTCTTTCTCCCCAGCTGATCAACAGCCCTCCCTCTTCACTGTTGGCAAGGCTGTGTCATTCCCTACTGCCTAAGCAGCATTCACACCATGCCATTCTGTTCCTCCGGGGCTTCCCACGGAGCTTAGGGGAAGGGGTTTTCCTTTATCTCATCCCTGCAAGGCCCTCCCTGCTGCCTACTGAATTCCAGCCAGGCCACGTCCCAGTCCTTGGTCTTGGCATGTGCCAGCTCCCTCTCTCCACCTGGCTTTGGCACAGCTACTTCCGCCTCACCACTCCCATCTTACTCAGTCTTCCTCTAACCACTCCTGCCTAGAGTTGGTCCCAACTTGTTCATCACTATCTCTCTGTCCAGTTTCCTGGACTCTTATCACAACTCTCATTTTATTTATCTGTTTACAGAGTTTGTTATCTCCCTCCTTACACTGTTAGTTGCACTGGATCTTGTCTCTTTGGTGATCTCTTGTGCAGAGCACATAATAGCTGCTCAGTAAGTAGTGAATAAGTGCAAGTGTTCTGTGTCCCACTTCTCCCTCTGAGCTTTATCAATTCTCTCCTCCCTCCGTCTCTGAAGACACTTCCTCTTTTCTGTCTTGACCCTAGTATTTCCTCAGTTACCCCTCCACTTCTCATCACTGCCCCCACATCTCTACTTGCTCGCCCTAGGTGGCTTCTGCCAGCCCCTGACCAGAGGACAGTGGTCGTGAAGGCCACCAGGGGCCTCCTCCTGACCAGAGTGGACATGCTCTCGTTTCCCGTAGCTTTGCTGTAGAAGCTGATACTGGGCAGCGTCCTAGCCACTCTCTCCCCTTGGCCATCACCGCAGGCAACAGACACAGTCACATTCACGTGAAAGCTCCCGGGAACTGAAGTGAGACACCCCAAGTTTGAATCCAGGTTCTGGTCCAGGATCAGCTGTGCAGCCTTGGGAGAGTTCCCTAACCTCTCTGAGCCTTGGCATCCTGATCTAACTAGAGAACATAATTCCGACTTGGTAATTTTGTATTCAAATGTTCTTGCTTGGAAGATACCCTCAAGGTGACTGCGCAGCCTGGTGGATGAGAGCCAGGTCCTGACTCAGTCTACTTCCCAGCCGCTCTGCCCACTGGGCGGTGTGACCCTAGGCTACTTCCTGAACCTCTCTGGATCTGTTTCCTCATCTATGACATAGGAAGAGGAAAGTACCTACACCATAGGTTGTCATTACCTTTTTTTTTTTTTAAGGATTTTTATTTATTTGTTTATGTAAAAGGCAGAGTTACAGAGACAGAGGGGGAGAAACAGAGGATTGAGGGAAGAGAGATTGATCGTCCATCTGCTGGTTCACTCCCCAAATGCCTGCAACAGCTAGAGCTGGGCCAGGAGCCAGGAACTTCCAGGTCTCCCACATGGGTGATAGGGGCCCAACCACTTGGGCCATCCTCTGCTGCTTTCACAGGCACATTAGCAGGGAGCTGAGTGAGGAATGGAGCAGCTGGGACTGGAACCTTCACTCCTATATGGGAGACCAGCATGGCAGGCAGCAGCTTAACCTGCTGCACCAAAATGCCATCCCCTGGACAATCATCCTTGACAGAGCAGCCATGCACAGGGCAGGGGTATTGGTCACCCAGCGGAGACAAAGCCTGGAGGGAGGGGGCAGGGACTTTTCTGGGCAGGGGACATCCAATATGTGTCAGGAATTCTCCTAGGTAATGCTGATGAGAGTGCCCTGTGCCCAGCAGGACGCCTGTCTCCTGTGTGACCCCTCCCTCCACAGTCTAGTTTGCTGGTCTCAAACTTCATCAAAGGGTGCCTTTAATTCCTTTTTTTTTTTTTTTTTAAGATTTATTTATTTGAAAGGCAGAGTTATGGGGCAGGGACCCGGGGTCAGGGAGAAAGAGAGAGATCTTCCATTTGCTGTTTTGCTCTCCAGATGGCCTCAACAGCTGGAGCTGGGCCAGGCCGAAGTCAGGAGTCAGGAGCTTCTTCTGGGTCTCCCACACGGGTGCATTGGTCCAAATGCTTGGGTCAGCTTCTGCTGCTTTGCCAAGCCTTTAGCAGGGAGTTAGATGGAAGCAGAGCACCCGGGTCTTGAACTGGCGCCTATATGGGATGCTGGCATCGTGGGCCCTAGGATGCCTTAATCCTAGATTCTACCTTCTTCTCTCTCAACTCCCTCCCTTGGCAAAACTCATTATTCCTAGCACTTCAACAACACCTTTCTTGTTTTCTTTAAAAAAAAAAAAAATGTTTTAGAGGCGGAGATAGAGCTCCCTTCTGCTGGTTCACTCCCCAAAGCCCACAGTGGCCAGGACTGGACCAGGGCCAGGCCAGGGCCAAAGTCAGAGGTGGGAACCCAGTGCAGGTCTGCCATGTGGGTAGCAGGGATCCAACGACTTAAGCCATCACTGCTGCCTCCCAGGGTCTGCATTAGCGGGAAGCTGGAATCAGAAGCTGGATCCAAGGACTAAGCCCAGGCACTCCAGTGGGGGATGCAAGCCTCATGTCTCTTAATTACTAGGCCACACGCTGGCCTCCATGACTATCTTCTGATAATTCTTTTATGCTAAGCCTCAGCAGACAGAGGTAAGTTACTTTCTCTGTAGTGTGACACCTTCTGCTTCTTCATCTGGAATCGAGGCCCTTTTTAGCTCTCGCACCACAAAACTCTGTGAGCTGCTCCTTAATCAGACTTGCAGCCCCATGCCCCATCTGTCCTGCATCCTGCCTGCTAGCTCACAAGCCCTCCCTTCCCAACAATGCCCTGGTTCCCTTCAGCCACATCTGTAATTGAAGAACCTCTCCTCCTTGCCTTGGATCCACGGTGAACACTGGTGTTAACTGGCTCCAGCAGGTTCTGTGTGCCAGGAATTTGGAATTTGAAATTGACAGGCACAGAGGCCAGCACTCTGGTGATGCAGCTTAAGCAGCTACCTGCAGTGCCAGCCTCCCATATAGGCACTTTTTTTTTTTTTTTAAGATTTATTTTATTTCTTGGAAAGGCTGAGTTACAGAGAGAGCAAGAAAGATCTTCCATCTGCTCCTTCACTCCCCAGATGGTTGCAACAGGTGGGGCTGGGCCAGGCCCAAGCCAGGAGCATTCTCTGGGTTTCCTACATGGGTTGGCAGGGGCCCAAGCACTTGGGCCATCTGCTGCTTTCCCAGGTGCATTAGCAGGGTGCTGGATTGGAAGTGGAGCAGCTGGGACTTGAACTGGCACCCATATGGGATGCCAGTGTTACAGGTGGCAGCTTTACCCACTATGCCATAGCACCGGCCCCCTGGGCACTGGTTTGAGTCTTGGCTACTGCACTTCCAGTC